ATTTTGTCCTAGATTCATAATAGATACTGTAGTAGCCCGTAGGTACCTAGTACTACCTACCTACTAATTATTATATATTATATTATTATTAGAAAACAATGCTCATACAGTCATACTCACCAATAATTTAAATCAAATGCTCAAAAAAAATACCTATTATAAATTTATTCAAAATGACTAAATTTAGCCTCTTCAGGTAATAATATGTATAGGGTCAAAAGTAAAATTGTTCAAGGAGTTTTCCAAGTGAAAAACAAAAGAAAAATTAAGGAAAAATGGAAATTTTTACGCAAAATCTGTTTTCGAAAAAACCGATTTTGGTTTTTGCCTTTCGGTGCAACTCTTATAAACAAATGACCGTAAGTACATGGAATTTTGACTGAATGTTAAAATTAGCATTTTCTATGCCCCATAACATTTTCCAAATATTTTGACTTATTTTGAGCTGTTTACGGACATTTTCAGTTTCCATATTTTTTAGTTTTTTATTTTCTATAAAATATTTTCTTTTTAATATCAATACAATTTTATTTGTTGGTTAAAAAAGCTTGAAAATTTAATAGAAGGCTCCTAGTATATTGTTTCACAGGTAGATGAAAAAAATTAAAAATCCAGTTTCAATTTTTTTTTTAAGCATTTAAAGTTCAAATATTGACAAAATACGTAAAAATTACTAATATTTGCAAATTATTTAGAGTTAGAAATTCATAAAAAATTTTCTTTTTAATTCTAAGATTTAAAAATGTAATACAATATTATTCATAAGTTTGTCTATGTTTATCAAAAAAAAAATGTCTTCAAGCAAATCAAATTAAATTTTTATGAGCGTTTGAATTTCATATTTTTACGATATTGGATATTCACTCGATTTCTCATAAAGCAATTTTTTTATTTTGTTGTTATTCAAAAACGAATAACTGTAAATACATGAAAATTATACTGAATGTTTATATTTTCATTTTCTATACACCATACGATTTTGATAATATTTTGACTCTTTTTGAGCTGTTTACGGACATTATCAGTTTTCAATTTTTTTTGTTTTTTTTTTCCATAAATATCAATAAATATTTTTTGTTGGATAAAAAAAGCTTGAAAATTGAATGCAAGGCTCCTGATATATTGTTACAATAGCAGTTGAAAAATATTAAAAATACATAGGCACAATTGTTTTTTATTAGCATTTAAAGTTTGAATTTTAACAAAATTTATCAAATTTAAAGTGTAATAATTATTTTGTACCTAGTTAAAAATTTATAAAATGTTCAACTTTATATATCTAATGATTGGAAATTTAAAACGAGGTTCCACGTAAATAGGTTATATATAAATTACTTTATTTACAATAATATCATCAATTATTGAATTATACTTAGTAATATACTAATATCATAGGCTGACTGACCGTTCTCGCTCAGAATCGATTTTCTTATAGAATAATATTGTATCATTGAATTTAAATTTATTACCATCCATTATACAGTGACCCACTTGAAACCTACTTAAATACGTTATAATACGTCTCTCATTTTACCTACGAGCATGCACATGTCAATACATGTCAAATACTACCAGTGATTTACATCACTACGCTCAGTACGAGGTTCCGATTTAAATTTTGAAAGCAGATTTGAATTCTCCTCTAAATTTAATATGCTTTAACTGTAGTACATTTTTCATATTCTAATCAATGTATTTACATTTTAATTATGAATATGAATTATGATCTATTATTACTATTTTTGTTAGTAAATTTCTAAGTAAAAAAAATAAAAATCAGAAAAATGAAATTGTCAAAGCATAGATAATTTAGTGACGAATTCAAATCTGCTTCCAAAATTAATATCAGAACATTATATTGGGCGTAATGATTGAAGTCGTGAGCTATGTTTTTGACCGAAAATGAATCACGCTCCAGCCCCCTGAAGTTTAAAATACTTTTGAAATTTGTGAATTTAATATTAACAAGTTACAGTTCACGTTCAGTGTTCACTACAGGTACTGTAGGTATATTTTGTATAATATTAAATTCAACAGATATGTACCTACCTAGTCACCTAGCTGATAGGTACTTCATGTCTTCATCAATAAGTTGTTATTCGTACAATAAATTTAATATCTATAGAACAGAATAAATCAAGCTTCATTTGATATGTAGGCATTGTGTAAATTAAACAAAAATTATACCTTAATTAACACGGTAGATATCGAGAAAAATAAATCAGAGTGATCATGCATTAGACGATTAATTATTCTACAATTCTTGTGACTTGTGAGTTGTGATATCTACTGAGCGACTGAGCAACTCACTGCAACTTTACTGGGTTTCCGTTTCACAAAGAAAATACAAATAAATACCTACCTACTACCTAGGTAGGTGTTTACAGATTTGCGATTTGTCATATTTTGTCGCACTGCACGCTATAATATTAATATTATAATTTATAGCCCAGTTGGCAACAGCTGCCCACTATCGATATAGTTTAATAATTAATAGAACGCCATAATAATACGCCATAGAACAACTATAGAAGTTGGTTTTTAATTAACGATACAGCGTTATAAATTATAATATTACGATGAAGAAAGGCAGTGGAAACTGGAAAGACCACGAATTTGGGATTTAATTAAATTGTTTTGTGAGTAAATCGTTGATCGACATTTTTCAGTAGGTGAATTACCTACTTAATACTAATAATAAGTAAACAAATTAAATAGTAATTAGGTAGTACCTACTAATTATTTTTAGGGTAAAAGGTAGGTACACCACTAGACCGGAGGAACTAACTATAAACTATATGCTATTGAATAGTTATATTATATTAGTATGTTACTATATGCATAACTTTAATAACATGAGTAGGTACATGCCTATAAAAAGTAGGCATAGGTACAGTTATATTATGTATAATATAATTCTAATGCACTATTCACTTACTACTGAAGGTTGAACCCCCCCCCCCCCCCCCTGTATACGAGACTGAATATATACCTACAGGTATAAAATTATATATTTTTATGTTTAATAATTGTTATTATTTATTAATTGATTGGTTTTTATTGTAAATAATGTTTTACAGTTTTAATGTTTATAATATATAATATATCCATATTATCATTTGTTCTATGATATTATTTAAGTAGGTAAGCCTGAAACATGAAAGTACGTACCTATTATCATAAAGCACGGACTAAGATATACAGGACTGGACACGACAAGGTTGGAGGGTGTGGGGGGGTTGACTACGAAATGTTTTACAACAGGCAGTGTTCGGGGGGATATTTTCCTTTTAGCATTACTAGCGCCGTCCTAGTGGATACTTATGGAACTAGAACACATCATACAAATTTCTAGTTCTATAAGTATCCACTAAGACGGCGCTAGTAATGCTAAAAGGAAAATATCCCCCGAACTCCGCCTGTTGTAAAACATTTCGTAACCACAATATTCATCTCGTGTCCAGTCCTGTATATCTTAGTCCGTGTCATAAAGAATACTATCTACAATAATAAATATCTTGTTATATTATGCTATCAGTCTTATGACTTAATACTTATATTAAAAAAATATAAAATACAAAATAGTACTTAGATTTTAGAATTATGGAAAAATCAATATGACAATTGACATCGGCAAAATATTATATTCTTTGATGTAAATGAGGTTTTTAAGTCTAGATGCATTAAAATAATCAAACAAAAGTGTATTTCATTAAACTACGGATTTCTCAACAGAATATTCTCAATTGATAAACCAGATGGTCTGCAGTTATGGTGCTAACTAAGAAAACAGTTAATATTGTAAACATTGTAAGTTCATTACCAATTCTAAATGATTTAAATAATAAAATAGAATATAGTTAAATAATGCCTTTGATCAAATAGGTAGTTGACATAATTAAGAGGACGTCATTCTCGCGCAATATGTTGTCTTCGTCTTACTAACTCATAATATACCAAAATGTACGTCCAGCAGTTCAAATGTTTGTATTGTTAGCTTAAATATTAGAGAGAATTAATCTATTATCAAACTTAAATATATGAACATTGTTTGTGTTCTTTCGTTGCTTTTTTTATGATATTTTTATTTTTAAGTGAATTACTAGTGCTTAAAATATTAATATTTAAAAATACTCATAATTCACTTACAAATACATTGTATAAAACAACAAAAAAACACAGATAGGTAATGTTCATACCTTTAAGTTTGGTAATAGGTCAATTCTCTCTAATAATATTTAAGCCAATAACACAAAATTGGAACTGCTGGATGTAGATTTTGGTATATTATGCATTAGTAAGACGGAGACAACATATGTGAGTACAACGTCCTCTTAAATAATTTTGTTTTGATTAGATGTACACATATTTTTTGTAAATTGCTGTCATAACTAGTAACACACACACACACCTACCTACATAAGCTCAAATAGGGGGTGTGGGGGGATTTAGCCCCCCTTAGAGTTTCTATAGCCCCCCAAAAACTATTGATTTCACTGCTATAATTTAAAAGCATCATAAGAGTTCAAGTATAGTGTATAGACCTGAGCCCCTCAAATTTCAAACTTTATTTATGCCACTGCCTACCTACTTAATTGTATTCATTTTTTTTATGTAGGTAGTATATGACATATATTTTATGTAGGTAGGTACTACATCTTAATTATATATTGTCTCCTAAGTATAAAGTACCTACTTAGTACCTACGCTGCTTTTTTTAAACACTATGTATTTTAATAAGTGTTATTTTTAACACTAATTTATTGATTTTTGTAAAATATAAACTTATAAATTATTAATTAATAATTTAAAATTTTTTTTTCCAGGGCCTTCTATCATTCACTATTTTTGTTTGGTCGTATGTTGTTGCTACTGCTCAGATGATCCACAAACAAACATCATCTTGTAATTAGAGTTATCACATCTAAAATTGGTATATTTACTTATCTTAAAGAGTCCTTTTACTAATTATTTTCTTGGTTTCGTAAGCTAGTCCAAACATGGAATCAACTACTAATCAAAAGTCATCATTTGATTTGTCTTTTAAAACAAAATTTAAAGAAATTAATGACATGTTAATTAGTATTGAGAACAACTGTATCGAAACCGATAATTTCCATGATATTTTACAAAAAATTAATGAACTTCAAGAGTTTTTAAATGATTCCAAAACATTTTTACCTGCTTATAATATGAAGAAGTGTTCTAATGAAATCAAAGACATAACAAAGTGTTATGAGCAATTGCATGAAAAATTACAACCTAAGAAAAAATTTACTTTTGGTAAACGACCAACTAAATCAATAGTCAAACCGAAAGAAGACAGATTTGAACCAATAAATGAATCAAAAGTTTATAAAGAAGATTTAGGGTTCAAAAATCGTTCTGATGAAAATCTAATACTTACGGAAGATGAAACTTTTTCGAAAGATATAGCTTTAGATGTATTGACCAATTGCAATGTCATTATTTGTGGTACACCTAGTACTGTGCGTGTGACATCATTGTCAACGTGCAAAATATTTGCATGTGCAAGCACATCGATTTTTGTTGAAAACTGCAAGGATACAATATTTGTATGCGCATCTCAACAATTGCGTATTCATGATTCTATTGCAACTGATTTTTATATTTATGTTACTAGTAGTGCTATAATAGAAAACTGTAAACAATTACGATTTGCTCCTCTTACACTCAATAGCCTACTTCTTAAAAAATCATTTGAAATAGCTAGTTTTGATGAATCTAATAATAATTGGAAAATTATAAATGATTTTGATTGGTTGTCATCTTACGAGCCATCACCAAATTGGTGTGAAATACCAGAAGAAGAACGCGATCAACCTTCAGAAAAAAATTATGTTTAGTATATTAACATTTTTTTAATATCTTTATAAAACACGACTTCAATAAAAAAAAATTGTTCACTGATTCCAACTAACTAAAATTATATTAATTTTTATTTAATCAACAAATAATATTTATTTTAATTATTTTATCACTGCTTAAAATAAAAATCTATGAGATAGAAAATTTATTGTATCGTAATATTAGTGTTTAAGATATGAAAATATAATATAATATAATATAATACATGTGTTTAATTTCAACGTGGTAAAACTAATTAAACATACACTACATTTTATATTTAAAATCTAATAATTTGAAGAGGTTTAATATTTTATAACAATTTGTTCCTGTGAAATGTTAGTTAATAGCATATTCTGATCCTTGTATTAATCGATGATTATTAAATTAGAAACAAGAGTTATTCATGTTACTCTATGTTTATTGTAAAAAGTCTATTGAAAATAAAAATAAAGCTGGATACATAGTATATTAACATTAGTAATTATTATAATTTCTTTAAAATACTTTTTGAATTTTTTTAGCAAAATACATCATTTTAGATGACTGTAGTAACATTAATATTTCATTAAATTACTGAAATAAAGTAACTTTCTTTTTTACTCACTCTAAAAACTATTTTACTTATCACACAATATAATATTATGAAAATAATGACTTTTGCACATGGTTGCTACTGATTATAGACACTTATAATTTCAGTGATTTTCATGGGGGAGGATATATATTCATTATTTCTAAGGTTAATCGCAAGGTAGTCCCTCCATCACTAACATTAGGTATATATAAAAAAAGTCACAGGGGAACCCATCCACAATAACCCCCCCCCACACTGTAAATATAATATAAGATGCTTAGGTGGGTGCCTCACATGGTTTGTTTCTGTCAAAATGAATTAATGAGGCCTAATAACTCAAATCTCAGGGGGAGATAAAAATGACTAATGTTTTTTCAGTTAAATATATCAAATATAACTTATAATAAAAAATAAATTGCTTAGTTACAAAGGTTTTCCAGTTAATGCAACTCTACTGTAAAATCAAACTATTTCCAAAATACATATGGATTGAGACAACAATTATCAGTTGTTAAAGGTCAATTAAAAATAACAAAACTAGTCTGGAACATGAAAAAATATATTTGTAACCCGTATTACTTTGTGAAACAATATTATTTCCATATAATAATATAGTCCATATATCTGCGAATGATTTTTGTCCGGTTCAGTCAGAAAATCCATCGCGAGTTGCCAACAGATATTATTATGCATAGGTGCTTAGTTATACCTTTAAAATCCAGCATCACTGCCATAAAGCTAAAAAATAAACTTTTTTCTGGTGGTCTGTATATTATGCAAACAATTTTACTCTGTTACTAAAAATATGTTGAATTCCACTTCACAAATAAAAACATATTATTAATTTCAAATTACTTATTTTAATTTAATATAAAATATATATGGGCACATTCGTTGGTAAGTAAATATAATAATTTATAAAAAAAATTAAATAACAATTGAGTATAATAATATAATAGATGTTTTTTTTTTCATCAAAGAAAGAATTTCCTATCAAACAATCCCAAAACCAGTCTTATTTAAAATTATAATGTATTTGTTATACTTTCTCAACCAAGAGAGCTATACCTTGACCTCCTCCAATACAGGCAGAACCAATTCCATATTTAAGATTTTTACGACTGAAACACAAAACAAAATAAATATATAATTTGAATGTAGTATTACATGTAAGCTTATTACACGGTTAGGTGTTAGTACAAAAATATATCCGTTTAGTACCAATTACATTGAATTCATTTAAAATTAAATTCTATTTATCATACCTAAACATAATTTTTTTGACTAGAACTTAAATTTTTTTTTCTTTGACTGTTTTACAATAAGTTTAGTTTTGGCAAGTTAAAATATTGAATTAAGTTTAAAATGTTAATTGAGAAAATATAAATTATGTATAAAATCAGAATCAGGTAGGTATATAACATTATGTATATAACATTAGTCATTTCTATAGTACCAACAATAATTAGTGGTATGGTGAACAAAATAGTTTTAGAGAAATTCATTATAAATTTCATATAGTAACTGATTTGCATTATTAATCTATATGAAATTTATCATCTACATTCACACCAGACTTGGTAAAAAAAATTAATTTGTTACCATTTACAGGACTATCAGTAAGTAAAACACTAAAAACAATGTGATACACTATGTTTGCTGAAGAGTAAGTAGATAGGTAATTAATTCATTATACTAAGGGATAACCGCATCACGATTCTCGGGTATGATATTGTATATACAATGATTAGATTTAAAACTTTTTCAAAATAAACTCATATTCTTATTTATTTATTTTGGATTGATATTATGAGCTAAAAAAAATTTATATGGGAGGTGGGCTTTGAATATTGAAGAGTATGTTGGAAGATTTAAAAAGGTACAATAGGTGGGTCCATTATGATAATTCAGGGATTTAAATTATAATGCTGGTTAAAGAAGTTGATAATTTAAAAACATTTTAAATGCCCTAGACACTTATTAAAATGCATATTTTGTAAATTCACAAAGTTAATTAATAATAAATTGTATAAGAATGAGTATTTTTATAAATATTCTAAATTTAAAGAAAACAATTAATTAATTTATAAAATTTTCCAATTTAGGATAATAGTAAAAAAAATTGTATATTATATAATACAATAAACAATTCAGTGTATTATTCATATAAATAAATAGAAAGAACAATTTTAAGATTTAGAAAAAATTAATTTTTAAATCAGCCATCATGTCTGCTACAATAGAAAATAAATTTAATTTAATGTATTCACAAATTAAATTAGTATAATAAAGGGGAAATAGATTCGTAATGCATTTAATTAGTTGCAATATCAAAGTGCACAATGATCATTAAAATATTTATTAAGTTTATGATTTTTATCAGTCTAACATTATTGTAACAGTATTCACATATGCCTAGCACTAAAAGATGATGTAATATGTATATTACATAAATAGGTCAAGTTAAATATATACACTTCCTAGTTTTAAAGTCCCAATAAAAAAGTGTATTAAAAGAGTAACTTACATTAGTTCATGGACAAGATGACTAGTAATTCTGGCTCCTGATGCTGCCAATGGATGCCCAATTGCAATAGCACCACCATTAACATTAAGCTTTTCAATGTCAAGTTTCAATTCTTTTTGGCAAGCAAGAGTTTGGGCTCCAAATGCCTCGTTAATCTTGAAAATTCATATGTTCATGAACGCAATATTCAATTTAAATTTGTAGAAAACTTTATAATGATAATTAATAATTTAAATTACCTCAACTAAATCAATGTCATTAAGGGTTTTTCCAGAAAGGCTCAATAATTTTGAAATTGATGGAGCTGGGCCAATACCCATTATGCTTGGGTCAACACCTACTACTGAGTAACCAACTAATCTTGCCAGTGGAGTGAGTGAATGTTTTTTCAATGCTTCTTCACTAGCTAATATGACAGCTCCTGCACCATCACATATACCCTAGTTATTAAATAAAATTATGAAATTATGAAAAAATAAAAATATTGGTAACATTTAAGAACAAATAACATAACAAAGAAGATTAATACACTAAAAATGCTCTTACAGATGCTGAACCAGCAGTTACAACTCCGTCTTTTTTAAAAACTGTAGGCAATTTTCCTAATGTTTCAAGAGTAGTCTTTGGCTTTGGGTGTTCATCAACATCAACAACTACATCTGCTCTTTTCACTTTTATGGTCACTGGAGCTAATTCAGCACTGAATACATTGTTATCTTGTGCTATAAAATAATCAAACATTTGTTAGTACAATTTGTATACATTTTGAATTTAAATAAAACTTTATAATATTATATAATAAAATTTTTATTTAAATGATTGTTACCTTTTTTCCATAGCGTTTGTGAACGCAAAGCAAATTCATCTACTCCTTGTCTGGTGATTTTGTACACTTCAGCTAATTTTTCTGCAGTCAAGGCCATTGGCAATTTACAATATGTATCAGTTAATCCAGTCCACAGACTGTCTTCAAAGACATAGGATGCTCCGAGGGGTATACCAAAACGGGCATTACGAACAACATGTGGGGACTGACTCATGCTGTCTACTCCTCCAGTCAACACAACATTAGATTCACCACACATGATACTCTAATAAAATACAAAATAGTGATATCTAAACTATAGGCATTAACTATTAAGCAAAATAAATATATTTTAGTACATTTTAGTTTATATAAAAGACAAAAAATGTTTGTACCCGACTACCTGCAGTGTCTTTTATGCATTCCTAAACTGTTCATCCGATTGAAATGAAATTTGGTACAGAGATAGATTAGATCTCGGGGAAGGAGATAGACTACATTTTGTCACGAAAAAAGTTAAATAAGAGGTCCGAGGGGTAGTTCTCAAACAGGGATTTTGAGATTATTATTATTATTTTTTGTTATAAATGGTTGCTATTGGTTTCATATACATGTAGTTTTAATAATAAAAAAAGCCTGTGTATTTTAGTACAGAATGTATCAAATTATTCAAATTAGTAAAAAACTACGGTTTGGACCAATTTTTTGCATTTTTTGATACTTTAGAGTTAAATGTCTACCTGATATGTAATATACTAGTTGCATAATCACAAAAACCTAACAATAGCAATGCGTTGCTGTGTCAGCTAGTTTTTAATAAAATTTAAAAAGCAAGTAACATATTTTTAATAAATTTAATTTTAAGTAAGTACCTGTGCTCCATTAACAATGGACTGGAATCCAGATCCACACAATCTGTTGACACCCAATGCATGACGATCTAGTGGGATTCCACAATGGAGTAATACATGTCTTGGTAAAAATGCACCATCTGAAGACGAGTTCTTCATAATAAGGAAAACAACAAATATAAATTTATTTTTGGAATAATGTATTTAATTAAATATTATATGCAATAAAATAATGTACATACAACATGTATATAATTGTGATTAAGAACTTACCATTAAAACATTTCCAATTATAACTGAATCAACAATTTTAGGGTCCACATTACCAGCTGCGAGTGCAGCTTTTGCAGCTACTATTTGCAATTCAGTAGATGAAGTTTTCACAAACTTACCGCCGTACGAACCAAAAGGAGTTCTCTTAGCAGCCACAATAAAAACACCTGATACGTACAATGAAAAACAAATGGTTTTTTTTTTTTAATTTAAATTTTACATTCATAACAACAATATTGTTTTAATTTATAACAATGCACGGTTTACCTTTTGCCAAAGCCATTTTGCGTAATGTAATCGATCAAATCTGACGACAATATTTGAGAGTTAGCTCGTTCGATGGTCAAGCGCAGCTAGGGGACAAGCAATGACTGCGACTTGCGAGTATGAGTTGCAAATTTCAATGACGAATATTGAGTTACGATTTTAATTATTATTGTTTTGGCATTGTGACACACTGACACAAGTGGTAAAGTATACAATAGAAGAGTAATGTGCAATGTTATTTATTAATCGAGTTCCAAAGTCGAACGATTAAAATAAAAATTAAAACTGATGGAGAGATAAAAGTATAAAACCATTACCGAACACATATTATAATATATTATGTACGTATTATCAACGGCCGAACAGCTGTTGATTGTTGAACCACGAATGGTCATTTTGTGTTACGTCACTGAATCATCAGGTATCACACGTCACTACGACACTACGTCAGTCGTCACAAGTAAAAGACACATACTGATACTACAACACTGTCTACTGAGTTACAGAATAACTACACTGAGTAATGACTACTGATTGATGACGTCAAATCAGTATTCAATTTGGAAAAACGATAAAACGAAATAATATAATGTATTATGTAGATAATGGCCAATTGTCTATGGTCAATGGTATTGTACTTAAAAGTCCGGTAAAAATTTATATTTATATTACACACCAAATACACAGTAACAATACAATAAAAATTTAAAATATTAAAATTTATATTAATTCTACTACATCAAAAATATTACATAAATGATATTTTATTAAATGAAAAAATTAAATAAAAACTCTTCGGCACTTAACTCAGCGCTTTTAATGAGTGATATGTTTAATGTTGTTAATGATTCTTATAAATATTCCAAAAATACAATAAAAATAAAAATAAAAAATATATAAATATGTTCAATCAATCAATGTTAATGACAAATCTGGTTGGAATCAGATTGATAGAAGAATGATAGACCATTCAAAAATAAGATACACATGAATATTTTGTTTGAACAAGATGAATATTCATTTCATAAGCTATGAAATTATGAACATTTTGGTGCTAGTTGAGATAATATGGTTAGATCTTAGACCTATGTAAAGATAAGGTGAAATACATTTGTAATTTAACTAATTTAAGACTTTCCAAATAAAGTGATAGTCTATAACATATAGTATAATATGGTTAGACCTTAGTCCTTAGACCTAAACAAATATTAAGTGACTTAACTTAATAATTATTAAATTTGGGACTTTTATTCAATCGGACTTTTTTTCGCCGGACTTTTGTTCGGGGATTCATGGTCAATGTAGCTATAATAGTATGTATTCGCAGACTTGGGTAAAATACTTTTTAAAAGTATTTCAAACACATATTCCGAATACTTTAAAAAAAAATAATTCAGAATATGTATTCGAATACTTTATGATAATATTATTCCTAAGTATTCCAAATATTTTTCGAATACTTTTTTTCAGTAGTTTTATATTTCAATAGGAAAAATATTATTTTGCAATACTGTGTTTATAAATTAACATTATTATAATCTCGATAAAACACACCTATCTGGCTATCTATTAGTTATAAATTATATTATATTATGTACCATAATATTATCATTGAATCATCTTGCATAAATATAATAATATTTATACCATTGATTATATTATGAAGTACTACAATATAGTATTTATAAACGATGCTAATACCTTATATTCTTAACTCGACGCTTTCAACAGTTTCAGCCACGATTATCATTCATCAAATGTCATTGATTAAGGTACCTACTTCATTGAACATTAAAATTAATCATTGCGGTTAGCACATGTTCAACCAAGACCACCCCACCCACCTAAACCTTAAAAAAAATCGAGAAGCGATCGCTTCTCAAAGACCACATTTGTTTCGCCATCTATTTAATAATATATAATACCTATAATATAATTATAAATGAAAATTTAATAGACAATTTTGTATTTTCGGACTTTTTGTCCAACAATCAAAAAATTAATCTTTTCGTCCGACTTTTTTCAAAACGCACTTTTTAGTTTTTGTCCATCATGGACTTTTTATCCCTGGACTTGTTGACCGATTACCGTACCTACTACAGATCACTAGAAAAATGAAACTCGTACTAGGTATCATAGGTGCAACCTAGGGTTGAAAAAGCTTGACAATTTAAAATAATGTGAGCATATAGCATTTTCTATTTTATGTAGGGTATTAGATCCTGAGCTGAGAGATGAATGTATTGATTTTATAATTATGTGTTATGTGTAGGTACACGATATCTAGTCGAAATAATGCTTTAATTTTCTATTTTAACATCCTTATCCTTGGAGGAAAGTGAATCTAGTTGTTACTTAAGGGGGATAAAAACTAGAAAATCCTCAGTAGTTTTCAAAAGCGCAGGGAAACACAAAAATACAATCAAGAAAAACGAAAATATTTACGCACGACCAATTTTTGACAAAATTGATTTTGGTTTTTTGGTTTAATGAAATTGTTCGGTCTTGGCGATTGACTGCGATAGATAAGCGCGAGCGACCCGCTGCGCTGATTGAATTACGACGGTAGGTACGTTATTAATTTTAGTCTGCCGACAGCTGGGACCGAATGCACTGTCAATCGCCGAGTCCTATAATAGTGCGACAATACCTAGTCAGAACAAAATTGAAAATTATAAAATAAAAATGTTTAAAAAGATATATGTTTAATAAATCATTCAAAATTAACATGATAATTTAACTTGTCTTTAATTTTCTAAATTTAAATAATAATCTACAAAGTTCAAATTACCGTGCGTCCAATTTCGTAAAAGTTACGATTGCCGTACGGCCCGACCAGAAATGTTTCATTTTATATCTGAGATTTAAAAATCTAATAAGTATAAGATTTCTCATAAGTATTTCTATCTTTAAAAAAAAAAAGTGTTGAAAGTGAAGCTTGACGGACTAATGATGTTAGCATTAATATAATAAGTAATAACACGACAATATGATTATGTATAAGTATAATATATAATAACCAGTACCGGATCTAGGGGGGGCGATCCGGGGCCCATGCCCCGGGCGCTTATCATAGAGGGGCGCAAATTTCAAATTTTAAACTCATCATTTTTATTACATTTATCTTTTTTTTTGAAGTACACAAGTTTTTCAAATAAATAGTTTTAATTCAATGTAGTCATACTGGTTATGATTAAGAAAAGACATTCGACATATTATATCATATTATCGATTTTATGATTTTGCTGAAAATAGCCAAAAACACAATCGGGGCAATCTGCAATTGAGATAAACTAATGTTGTATAATTGTATCGGTCAGTCATAGACGAACTAATTGCACAGCGATAAGCCGATAACCAAGCATTGTGTACTCATGTGTGCGTATTTTCTGCTATTTAACAGTGGTATTTATATTTATTATAACAGTGTTTAGCGTTCACTTCACTGTTCACTGGACGGTATCTAATGAATGTTACAGTTTAAGTATAAGTGTTACAGTATATTTTTTTGTGATGGAACCAAAAAAAAATTATCTGGTTTTAAGTTCCGGCAAAAAGCTCTCGAAAAAAAAAAAGAAAATGAGCGAACTTCGGCGTATTTTCATAATTGGCTGGGTAATACGAGTACTAACACACAATGTAGCACAGGTTAGAAATTATTCATAATTATTATTCTCTATTATAATTAATACTAGATCTATATTGTATTATAATAATTAATGACGTAATTTAGTATTATTATTATTTATTACTATCGATATTATAATATACGTATTATTTTAGAATTTAATACCTAACCGGGAATTTGAAACAGGTATAATTTCTAAAATAATAGTTTTCGGAAAACTTTGTGAATTAATTTGTATAATATATAACTATATATAGTTAGTATAGTTCAAAAATTGTTCAATTTTTTCTCTAGTTCTACTCAGAGATGGGATATTCTTAAAGAACATCTTAAATTTTCATTGAAAGGTTATAGTACGACCAGATGGTCTGCAAAACAACGCGCTGTTAAATCATTAATTGGTGAATTAGCGGAGGACGAATCATCAACATTATCCGAAGAAAATAAATTTAGAATTTTAATGAAAAACGTCTGTGATAGAATCTTGAACGGCTTAAAAGAAAGATTTGACTCAATTGATGAAGCTGCAAAAGATTTTTCTTTTTTAGATGGAAAGTTTTTATTTAGTATGCCAACAATTCAATTAAAAAAACATGCTATGGACTTTTGTATCAAATATGAAAAAGATATTGACAAAAATGAATTAATTTTAGAGTTGGATAGTTTTACTCAACATGCAATTCAATTGGATAATAAATTAATAGATGCTCGTTCACATGAAATTTTAAATTTTATTCTTAAAAATAGTCTTCAAGAAGCTTATCCTAACATATTCACAGCTTATCAAATATTTTTGACATTACCCGTTACATCGGCATCTTGTGAACGTAGTTTTAGTAAACTGAAACTAATTAAATCATATCTAAGATCAACTACAAAGCAAACAAGATTAAATGACCTGTCAATTATATCCATTGAGCACCAAGTTGCTAAATCCATAGATTATGAAGATATCATTAAAGAATTCGCGTCAAAAAAATCAAGAAAAATAATTATTAAATAGGTATTTATTAAATATAGGTTTAAATTCTAAATTATTTGTTTTTTTATTGAAAATAAACATTTCCATAATGTATAAATATTAAATAAATGTAAAATATCTTGATTAATTGTATGAATATTTAAAATATAAATCGCCTATAATAATAATCCGTATTTTGACACACTTTAGGACTCATGCATTTTTTTATTGGTGACTTTTAGGGGCGCTAATATTATGTTGTGCCCCGGGTTGTATAATTTGTAGATCCGGTACTGATAATAACGTACAACTGGACAATTAAACTGTGACAGTACACACACATCGTATACGCTCTGTACAACGACGCCTGTGCAAGTGAATATTACATACATCAAAGGCCCTATATATATGCACGACCGAGGTCATGTTACATCCGTGAAGAGAGTGAGTCTTATGCTCGTACATAACTAGTTACTATATTGTACACACGTGTCAAGGCTGACTACATATACTACATATTAATTGTATATTTCAACAAAAAGTTTAGTGGAAAGTCAGAAGTTCAAGTTTTTATGACATTATTGCTACATTGGATTAAATTTTTGGTATTTTAAATACCAAAATTAATTTGCCAATAAATTGGTAAATTTATGATTTTTTTATTTTGTTATATAGTTCAAATCCCCTTTCCATAATTATTGACCCATCATTCATAAAGCCGGAAAGCCTCTTATTTTCGTATTTGGTATCACCACCACAATTTCTTTTTAACGTACTCTTACCCTCCCCCAACCCATTGAAAATTCCTGGGCACACCACTGAGTGAATATAGGGATTTGATAATAAATAATAGCATAAAGTATTGAAGTAAATATTACTAAATATTAAGGAATTATTCACAAAAATTAAGACAAACCATATTATAATATACGATAATCGGATAATTATACCTTCTATTGTGCATTTATGCTACCTACTTAAAAATAGGGTTGTTATAAATTACGTACAGATCATGAATACATTATTTGATTTTATTCATACAAATTAAATTTTCATAAGTCATAATATGTATTTATTTTTCATACACATCTATAGGTATATACATAAATATAATATACATTATACCTATATAATAATAATTTAAATACATTAGACATTAGTACCGATTTTACATAATAATGTTATAATAAAAGGTCAAATAAACAAAAATCAAAATCGTTTTTTAAATGTATTAAAGATAATAAACAGCAGTTACACTCACATCCAAATTAAAAATAATTTAATACATACGCAATTTTTTGAGTCAAAGAGTGAACCAAAACATTTTTAGATGGTAAAGATTTTAATATGATTTAGGTAACAATATTGAGCCGTTTAGTGGCATAAGTTGGGCTGTAGACTGTAGTATAACTTTCTAAAAAATTCACTATAGTAATTACACCATTCGGAATTCACATCCATTTTAATAAATACTGGACTACGGTTCTCTATCGCAGTGTCAATTTAATTATTGTTTATAAAATATGTATTATACTTTCTAAATTATTTTTATCAAACTAAGTGATACTGACAACTGATGTAGAAGAATTATTCTTAAGAGTACATATTCGACCCTAAAAGGTGCATAAATTGATAATAGACAAAAATTACATTCAACTCATATGGTATATATGACTAGACCTACCTATAAACTTATAAATTATTATAATAAGTGCATGTAAAACTATAAGACGTATAATGTAACTAAAACTAAAAAGTTAAAAACCATGTTAAAATCTCATTAATAAAAATAAAACTCAAGTATGAACAATTAACTATATAGGTACGAAATATACCTTTACTATAATATTATATTGTAACTGCTAAGAGTGCTATGAAAAATAATTTGATAATAGTAAAAAATAATATTACTCAACACTTACCACTAATCCATATGAAAACAATTAAGCGAATTAAAAAAAGAGACTTTCAGTTTTTTTAAACATAAAAAATTAAAACACATAAAACAAGAAATTTAAATTGTTGTATCTATTTATGTATGTTTTATATACATATTTTACATAATGTGCAGATTGTTATTCAATATTCCTTATAGCAATAATTAGATTACTGATTAGCATAAAAAGCTATATTTTTAACAAAATTAAGACAGTTAGTTGTCACAAATAAAATTTAACAAGTTTTAATGTTGACTAGGTATCTCCTACTGGCTACTACACGTAACCTATTTGATCGCTTACGGGGTGAATTTGATTGTTGCATATCAAACCCGTACAATTATAATTTTTCACTCAGAAAAACTATACTTTGGCACTCGTATAAAGTTGAAAATTATTAAGATATACTGTCAATGCTTAATAATATATATAGTACTATATATATATATTAATATTATATATATATATAATATAATATGCTATATGCATATTTATACGTAAGTATCAAATAGGTATATATAATAATATTGAGCAATTATAATAGGTATAGGTATGTCTTGTCGTCTTAAATTTGGCTATAACATTTAATTTGGGGTTTTATACTTTTATTATGGTTTTCATTTTTTTCTTTTAAAACGGTTTTGATTGCCGTTTTTATCTATTTCGGTAGTGGTGTAAAGCAATATTTTATTATCGTTATAAATACTAAATTACTAAATAGCAATAGAATTAATAGGTAATATGTTATATTTGACTATTTGATAATATATTTCCTATTTCCAAATAGATATCTGTAGAGGTTTTATTTTAGTTTTTCCTATTTTTATTTTTACCATCGTTTCAGTTTTTCAGGTTTGAATAGCAATATTTATTTTTTTCAATTTAAATTTCGGTTTAAAATACTATATAGGTACCTATATACTTTATAGTATTTAGATTTTTTCCTGTTTTCGTTTAACCGTTTTTCAAATCCTGAATTATATATATTATTATAGGGTGGTCAGTTGGATTCACAGACCGTACCTTTGACGACATCGTCCGTGTACGCAACCATTATTCGGTAGTTGATCTGGTTTGGGTCCGTTTTGCCGTACAGATACTTATGCAGCCCGTTGCTGAGCATCCACACCCTTTGCGAGGACTCCTTGTCTACCTTAAGGTCGTTGGGGAAGCTGAGCGGTGTCGGGCCGCTGGACAACAGCCCCTGTGTGATCGACTCGAACGGGCGCCCGGTGTCCCAGCATCCCACTTTGCCCGCGGTCACCAAGTTGTAGTACATGACACCCTTCGCGTCCACGGCCATGCCCGACGACTGACACGACTGGTGGCGCGCGCACCGTGAATCGTTGAGCGCAAAGAAATGCTCGATGATGTCACCCTCGCGGAGCGTACCGTTGCGCAGCGATGCGGTGGGCACGTAAAACTCGTTGTTGCTGGACAGCGAATGGAAGTAGAGCACCCGCTGCCCGACACCGCCGTCTGGTGACAGGCACATGCCGAAAATACCGTCCATCCAGTTGAACGATATGCCGTCCATGCTGTAATGGCAGTACAGCGGATCTGGGTAGAAATACGGATGGTTGATCCGGCGAGAGACGTCCTGCATAGTAGTAATAATAGTATTATTTTAACGATTTTAACGGTTTTATTTTTTATTTATTTTATACTTGAAATATTTACAATCTATATAACGTACAAAGTACAATAAGCAAATTTGATAATTTAATGGCAAGTGACAGGAGAATTTAACAATAGTGGGCAGGCACTCAGCAGCGCCCTCCAGCCGGGTACATATTAAGTATCAAGGTTTTTTTTTTATTTTAGTAAATAGGTCTCTAGGCCACTGTCTTTTGAATCTTTTACATATTTTAATGGTTATATTATTTGTGTTGAAGCGTACACGACCGATATGGTATTTTGTGCAAGCTATATAATATGATAGGTACATAATACGACTATTTAAAAAATAATTAATTTTTAAATAAGCACAAATGCACTCTGTACATATAAATATTGGTATAGATAGGTACCTCTTTATAGCTGTAAACAACCAATCCGTATTGAAATACATCAGACATGTAAGCATACGCATCTTCACAATTATCGTTGAGAATCTCCACTACAATATTTGTAAACAGCGAATCCTTTAACGTTTGATTTTTGGGGATAATAAAACGCTTGATATGCGTATCAGTTTTCAAATCAAACACATCTAGTTTGACCGGACATATTTGGTCGACCTTATTTGCCAAGTTTATGGCGCCTGTATCCAACACCCACAATCGGTCACACTTGTCCACTTCCATCCGGAACACGGACACCAAACCATGACAGCGGTTCATATTATTAGCGTACCTAGAAATTTATGAGATACGATTACGGTTTTACGTTGTTCGTTATAATTTTGAACCACCCGACCGAATCGTGGTCATAAATTATTACCACCGTGAACAGAAGATAAAAAACAAATTACCAGTTCCACGAGGGATATGGCTTCAGCATTGGGGACTTGGTGTAACTGTTCAAATTCACGTACGCCAACGTTACTGGTATTCCCGGTCTCCACTGTGGCAGGCTTAAAAACATCTTGTTCTTCCACACTTCCAACCCCAATAGTAGGTTGTTAACCGGTATAAATGCACCGGTATTGATAGCCATCTGTTTAGAATCTTGATTGGGATATTCCAGATCAATTTGGCCCCACGTAAAACGATCTTTAAATCCAGTATTTTCGTTCCGACCTTTTCTGTTTGGTTTTTTCACAACTTTACGTTTAGGGTAGTCCGTAGGAGTTTTATTTCCTATCATCCACATAGATAATAGCCATGGCACCAGAACTTCTGAAACATTATATTTTTTTTAAAATTAAAATAGAATAATAATTAAAAACTAATTCGTGGTTCACCGATTTGACGGAGAAAATAAAATATAAATAACTAGTTAGCTAGATCTATATTCTATGTTAGACGATTAAAATCAAAATTACAATATACGTTTAACTTTAGATATAGTAAATATTATATCAAACATAAAAAAAAAATTAAAAGTAATTGGTAATTTATTTCATGAAAATATTGACATGATTATGTTCTTTTGATATTTTCTTGAAATTTATTGTTTAACCGAATCTATTGTATTTCCCATTAGCTCTGAGTGTTATAATATGGTAGTTAATAACTGTAAGAGTTGTTTCACGGTAGATTTGTTAAAAATTACCAATAGTTGCTTATTATCTGACCGTTTTGGTATCAAGAGAAACACTTTTCCCTTTTACTTTATTTAAAGCAAAATCAGTTTTATCTACGTTCAGGGCCGCAACGCGCGGAAGCGATTAATTTAATGGATTTTGAATCTTTACCTGTTGATGACACTGGGAAGTTTACTTGGCTCACTGTTGAAACTTCAGCATGATGCTGTGGTTTCATCCAGTTATAGTCTGCAGGCCAAACGTATGAGTGAGGTTGGTCGTGACCCATCTAAAAAAAATACAGTATACGATATAATTTAATTGATTGCCCAATATTTTATTTAAATTTGCTTAAGAAAATAAACTGTGTAAATAGAATACAATAAACATTTATATTTTACAAAATTATAGGATCAAAGTCAATAATTACCACAAATAGGTATAGAACAACAAACTCTACAAAATATTAATAATATTTATTACATTGATGTAATATTATTTAAAAATAAAAATGTTTTTTTCTTTTTAATTACTAGAATAAATTAACTATGTTTGTAGGTTACGTTTATTGTATTTAGTAGTATAATATAGGTAGTCAAGTTACTGTCAATAATTATTGCCGTAATATCAAATTCTATTGCGGTAATACTTACTGGAGCGAATCGGTGTGTTATTTTAAACGTTTGTTAAATGTGTACAAATAGTACTTTACAGATCTACGGGTACACCGTACACGTATACATATATATTATACGAATTTTATCTTTGTAAGGAAAATTAATTCCCTGTAAATAAAAGTATAATGGTTAAACAAATATTGGTACATGTTTTTATAGAAATTATGAAAACACAAATAAAAACTAATTTGGTGTAACGTACCTAATATAGATATTATACGTGCCTTCATTATTTGAGTAAATATTTTAATTATTTTTATAATTACTATCTACTCTATGAAATTACAAGCTATAATAAATGCAAATAAACTTGTGTGATTTCAATGTTTTTTAAAAATATAAATACATTATTTAAGATTAAGAAAATACAATATTTTATATTGTCTTTAGCACGTAAGTAATTGAAACGAATTGTACATTTTCATTCCTCGACCGTTAAGATAAGTATTTGAGTTAATTACAAGCAACAACTAAAAAGTATAAAATGTATATACCTAATAATATGTATTATTGTTTATGAAATAAAAAATTTAAAAAGTTACATAAAAAATAATCAATGTTTGAATTAAAAAAAAAATTGACTGCATATCATGCTGCATGATGTGCATAATTTGAAATAATTTTTATTTAATCCTATTATTTAGATACCAAAATATCATAAAACGTTTTATACGATTTCATTTAACTATAAATTTAACTATATGTGTATTGTGAAAGAGACTTACTGAAAGTTTGTGACAAATCCACAAAACGACCACCGTAATATATGTGTTGTATAGGTATAGGTAGGTACCTACCTAATATGCGTGTACTATGACTCGCGGAGAACACGTCGGAGTGTCTAAGGTTTATCGGTTGATTCTGATTCGCATGAGAGACGTTAACGCGGCGTTGGAGTTAAATCAGTGACTGAAGTACTGAACGGTCCAAACAGCGAACGTGCAGTAATAATAATAATAATAATAATAACAATAATGGTTTCACTCCATCGTGCACAACAATGGTCACCGGATTGTGGCAGACGACGTTGTCGTCGTCGCCACCGCAGCGTTCCACGCAATCGTGTTAATTATTTTCCGACTAGGATATACAATACGGCAGATATTCTTAAGTCACGACAGTTGAATAAAAGTCTACGTGTTCAGTAAATTAATTTGTAAAAAAAATTATGCGAATTAATTCCGAATAAACGAACGTTTTGCAATAGGTGCCCTGCAGCAAATGAATACATTTGGTCAACGATAATTAATATACTAAGAGTATGTAACAACTATGGGTGACTCCAGAAGGGGGGATGCTGGGGACCCTCAAGATTTCTAACGCAATTTTATAGTGTAAAAAACAAAATTACAAAAAAAAATCATATTATATATTATATATAATATAATATATAATATATAATACATATTATATATTATATATAATATCGAAATTTTCTGAAAATTATGACCCCCCCCCCCCCCCCCCGACCATGTCTCTGAAGCCACTCATGGTTAGAATAATATTTATAATTTATTCTGTAAATCCTGGATTTATATATATCGTTCGTTATTGTTTATTATAATTATTTAAGATGTAAACTTAAGATCGGTTTAATGAAAATTATAGGTACCTAGCTATACTTATAATAGTTGTCGAACACACGTAAAAACAAAGTTAGTGTTGAAGAGTTTAGTTTTAATTTTGTATATTGTATATTATATATACTTTCCAGTCATTGATTTAATATAATATTGCTACCTATTGGAGGATACATAAGGATGTAATTTCGTTTGACTAAAATTGTGATGGCGGACATGGAAACTTCGGAAAATGTCTATAAAGATTGGGAGGGTGAGGAGACAGTTGCGGTGCACCATTATTGGACTACTCGCTCGTGGATTACAGTACATGGGAGTTGAACGGTGGGTAATCGGTGACATGCGAAGTTGACGTAGACAATATCGTAGAATGTCAATATTATCATACAACTTAATGTTCGTAATATATAATCGTTTAATTATTTTTATTTTTAATTCAAAACCTCTATATTATGTTGTACAAATTATTATTTTTGTTAAGTCCTATAATATGTATTTATTGTTTTTATTTATTTTATATTTCACTAACAATTTGTATTTTGTGAAACCTGAAAATTATTTATTTTATTTTCACATTGATCTACTTGGTGGATATACTTATATCAGACATTTGCTCAAAACTAAACTATAAAATGCTACTATATACCTACTAACGATATTAGAAGCACGTTATTCCATGAACATTGTGATTAAACTGTAGACGATATAATTATAATTAATAAATTAAAGTACCTACCTTTTCGGTTTTACATTATTAGAATGTTCCGTGTACGGTGTACAGTCGTACTTTAAATCAATTATTACTGTTAATCTTTGGTTTGTCAAATACATTTAAACTAATATATAAGCTCAAGTGTTGAATATTATTTAAAACACTGCAGCAGCAGAAAAAGAAGAGAGAAAAAGAAATATTAATTTATTTAAAAATGTACAATGCGCAATAGTATGCCTACTTTAATATAATATTAATATACAAAATGTAACGGGCACTGGTGCCAACCTGAAGAACATTTAATGGTAAAGTACAACTTACTATAATATTATAATAGTCGACTTTCAAATCCATCATGTTAGTAGATAATGCTGTAATAACGATTGGAAATAAAATACAACTTATAAATACAAAAAGTGATCGCTATACAGATTGATAATAAAGACAACCATATTATGATGTCCAAATACCAGAAACTATAGAAACTACAACAGCGGTGTCCAACGCTTTGCGGCACGATCGAGTCCTGCGCCGGCGCAACTGTTGGTTCAATCCGAGGTAATATTGTTGAACCTGCAGGCTTTCAACCATCATCGACGTTGATGACCACCTGTAAAATAAAATGACACGCTGCAGTGAATTGGGGGTGGGGGTGTATACCTGGGAAAATTATTTTATTTTTTAAGACTTATATTATGATATTCAACATAATGTTTCAGCGATCTGGGGACCGCACAAAGTCGCAAGAGTCATAACTCATAAGTAATCGCACACTGCAGTGAAACATGGTGATTTCGTTTGTACTTTTACAGAATACAATACCATAATATGATGATGATTATGATGATTTAAGACTGCGTTCAAGGTATCATAATAAAATTACTGCAAGTCGAGTACCTAACTATATTTAAGGGTGGGCAAGTTAAGGAAAATAATTAACTGTGGTAAGTTAAGTTAGTTAAATTAAATTGCCTTCAGTTTAGTTAAAAGTTAACAAAAAAAATTTAACTAGATAAGTTTAAAGGTAAGATAGAAAATAAAATTAGCTTAACTCAGTTAAAAAAAAGTTAATTTTTTTTCAAGTTACAATATTTTTAAGTCATAAGCTGCCTTAGTATTTTGTTATACACAAACATTTACCAAAACGTTTAACACTGTGTAAAAAATTAGATAATTATAATATACGAATTAAAAAATAAATGATTAAAATCGAAAAAGAGTCAACGAATCAGTATTGTCTAGTTGATAATGCTTGATACGAAAGAAAATTAACTATAAAAAGTTAAGTTACAACAATAATAATGTTAACTGAATAAGTTAAAAATCGAAAAAAAAATAACTTTTTAACTTAACTTTAACTTCTTAACAAGTGAATGCCCACCTTTGACTATATTATAACCGCAGTATATAACCTATGTCCTATACCTATATACGTCTTGGAATCGTCTTTAGATCCTTAGTCTTACTATAAGAAAAAAAGTATTGATTTGTTTTGAGCTTTGACTATGCATTTTCGTTGAATTAAATATTGTTAAATATACAACTAGTAATTTTAGATTCATAGCGGAGAGAAGATAATCTGTATAATTTATAATTACCTATTTGTTGTTTTTCTGGTTTGTATTTAGAAACAATTATTGAAACAAATAATTCTAAGATTTTTTTTATTGACAGTTTAATAAACACACAATGAAAACATTTAATTATTATATCTACAATAATACTTTTTGTTTTCCTTCATGATTTATGATTAATATTAATTTGCGTCGATATACGTAAGTAATATCCATTCTCCAAGAGAGTTATGTTTCCAAAATCTATTGTTAATCCGAAGTTTAACTGCTGGTGTCCTCCGCAAAACCAAACTAACAAGTTACCAACACTCTGAGTAATTTGTCCGTAGCCGATGATCCATAAATACACTCTTATCATATTATATAGTGACCCTACTCAATTTAAATTAGCATATTTTACAAAGCTGAACAACATAATTAAAAAAAGTTAATAAAACTTAATTTAATACAAAATATAAAAACGTACCACATAATAGTATTAACTGTAATTTAAATTTTAAATTAATTTCATGTGTGTAGGTAGTTACTATAGAGTTACCTTATATATCTCGTGTGGATGTATTTAGTGTTCTAACAACCCAAACTGTTGTCCATTGATTGGGTTTCTCCGAAGACAACCGGAAAGTAGCAGTAACATCTATATAAATATCGATGGTAATGTGGACCGAAAACGAACAGTGTGGCGTTGGTCCTGTCTGTATTTGTTTGTTTTATCATGGTTATGATAGTTTTGTTGAAATTTTTTT